TACCTATTTTATTCTGTTTCAAAAAATAATCTTATAAATTACATTATAAAGTTTCATTGTAAATTCTTTAAGAATTTAATCCACATAATTTATGTTTTCATTTATTTAAGCATTTAAACTATTCAGTGGGCCTAAGACTGGATGTAAATGTAAGTAAAACAAAAACAAAAGCATCGCCAAAGTGTTTCTGTGTATGCAAATGCTAATACTATCGCCCGATTTCCGCGTACTGTATTTTTGGTAAGCAAAGCTTGGGATGGTTCACAGGAGGTGACGAATATAAATTGAAATGCCGTATAAATAAACTATGAAAATTATGAATTATGAATTATACTAATGTCATCTATCGATAAAAACATTGATTCGATTGGTGCGACTTTTTCGCACTGCGGCAGTGCCGATAGAAAACGGCATCTTTTTGGCATTGCAGCAGTGCCGATAGAAAACAGGAGCTTTTTTCGCACTGCAGCAGTGCCGATAGCCACTACCGATATCGTTGGCTATGACCATAAATTTGTTGTTTTGTTAACGTCTAGAGTAAACTTGCCATTTATTTCCATTTAATGTAGGCCTATTATTATTTTATTTACAAAAAGTGGGTGCTCAGTTTTGCCAGCTGGATATGAGATTTCTTACAATCCAACAAGTTGCCGTCTTGCAAAAACTAGGGTTAAATTTCTAATAATTTACTGGCGTTGTTATGTTTGATTCCAACGGTGTTAAAATAAATACAGTACTGTACATGTTGGTGTTGACATAACACCCACTAAGTATATATCTCAAGCAGACAACCGTACTTGATTCCAGTGTGACAACTGGGAAAAATATAAATTCACAAGATTCAGTCTAAAAAATCTCAAGATTGCTATAAAAATCCCAAGATTCGCAAAAATATTATTATTTATTCATAAAACTTCTTTTAAAAGTCCAATTTCAAAGCTTTACCAATGAGATGCATTTTACTGTACTGATATAACAAAACAGTGTCTGAATTTTCAAGACCAACTCGTTCGTATTGATTCAACTGTGTATAATTTTCTGAAATTGGGGATTTAAAATCATACACATAAAAAATGACAGGGCAATTACCTTTATTTTATTTATCTTACACAGAAAATATTCCAGTAGCATAACTTATAGGCCTACCTGTGTATTAGAAAAAAGGCGTTGATTTTTATCTTCTTCGGGAGGTGTCAGGTGTAAATTGTCAAATTAAAATACAATTTAAAACATTTGCAAAGTATGAAACGGTGCAAGATCTCCTGGCATCTAGGTGCAATATTCTTGCTCAACTTTACTACTATGTACTGATCTGAAGCAAACAGCATTCCGCCAAATGGGACACATATGAAGAGAATTAGCTTAAAAATGCATGCACCTTATTATTTTTGGAAAATGATTAAATGACCATCAGAAAACTTATAGGTCTTTTTGAACAATATCAACCCTCATTCACAACTGTCAACTACTGTAATAAAGTTAATTCACTTATTGAAAAAAAAAAATTTTTAATTTCATATCCCAAAAAACCCAAGAATTTAATGACAATTTAACAAAAAATCCCAAGATCCCAAGGTTTCATTAAAAATCCCAAGATCTTAGGATAAATCCCAAGCAGTGGTCACAGTGCGTGATTCCAAAGTCTCGTGTCAGTAAAGATTCCACACGAATGCAACACTCCCATTGGATGAAAGTGTCACATGCTGTTTTTGAATGCGTAAACCCACCATTAGTGGGGGCCACTCCGACGCCGTGTTTGGGGGGGGGGCCAACGTGACGTCACAGATACGTAATCACAGTGCAAAACTTTTGAACCGTCGTGACAATCACCTACAACACGATACGGCGACACCTATTTTTTTTTGTACAACAGGTGATCAAATAGGCCGACAAAATGCAGTAATTGTGCTTATGTACAATGTGCCAACAGGCACGTTGGTGGATGCGGAAAACATTTCATAAGTACTGTATTACAAGTATAAATATTTTTTTAATATTTCAAACAAAGCATATACCTAGGCCTAGGGTACTGTAGGCTTATTTATTTAGGCCCTATTTTTGTTAATTATTGTGTTTCAGTTTAAAGACTCGCATCTTATAACTAATTATCCCCATTTTAATTCTTATTTTATTTATTGTTGCATTATTTATGATTCCAAACTTTGCCACTGCTTCTTTTGATTTGTTTACTTGTTCTGTGCTTGGGTTAAGCAATGATCATAGCTGCCTGTGGGTTGTGAGGTATGGTTAGCCATATTATGACTTTTATTATGGCCCTTTTGGCGCTGTTTCAAGCTTGTGATTTGTTGAAATTGAACAACATAACAAATTCAAATAAAACTAACGCCGCTCTCATTGTGACCCTTTCGACCAATCTTATAATTACGGCGTTTATAAATAAAAGTTAACTGCGCTTTTAATATGGCCTTACGGCGCTGTTTAAATGTTGTGATTGGTTGGAATTAAACAACGTAACAGCGTAAAAAAAAAAAACAACGGCATTTTCATTATGGTCCTGATGGCTAACCATAGTGAGGTGCCTCAATTATTTGGGGTCCAGCGCTTCGTATCTGCAAAGAAAGGCGCTACTATGCAAATGTTGTGATTGGATTGGATTTTGAATACCGAATAAATTAAATCTAATGGTGTTACGAAGATTATTTACATAGCGACCTGCTGTTGCTATCATAATTGTAACAATTAATTAACAAACCGTGCGTGCGTACAACACACGAGCATAGCTGTGTAGGCCTCGGTTGAACATACAGCTACATAAGTATGCGATTTCTGTATGTTGTCAATGTCATTCATTGATTTATTCATTAAAAAGCTTATTTTATCATCAGTTGATTTAAATCGTATGCAACTTTGTCTTAAACAATACTTAAGACGAAGATTTTGTTATTTTAATTTAATATTTATGTTAACTTTATGTTAATTTTTTCTACCTGCTCACAAAAAAGTCACTTTTTGCACTCACTTCGGAAATTAACACAATAACAGTACTAGAACCAAATGATTTTGCATGCAATACCAATATTTGATTTCCTTTAGAAAGACTAAAATTATTTATTATTAAACAAAAATTCAATAATTTTTTTTATTATCATTGACAACAAAACATTAAAGTCAGGCTCCGGAGGAAAACAATTTTTTGATATGTTGTAGAACTGATTTTTCTAAGACTGGGGAACGGTGAATGAGATACAGATTTTTTAATATTTAAAAACTGGGGGAATAAGGTGTAAAAATGGGCAGTTACGCCCCTTTATCCCCCAGTTTTTAAATATTAAAAAATCTGTATCTCATTCACCGTTCCCCAGTTTTTTCGTCAAACAACTTTTTTCTGTCTTAGAAAAATCAGTTCTACAACATATCAAAAATTTTTTTTCCTCCGGAGCCTGACTTTAACATTAACAAAAGCAAACACTACATGAAAGAAAGGATGAGCACCATTGTTTTGGCACACCCTTCTTAACCCAGTTTGTGAACGGTATTGCATTCCCATTTTCTTTGTTTAAATCACTTACTAACTTCATACCTGCTTCAAAAAACACTTTATAGAAAAAAAATCTCTTATCAATTTGAATGTGCTGATTATGCCACAGGCACTGATAAATGCAATCCAGTTTAACTAAATCGAAATAAGAAATTAAACTATTCTTATAATACTGTGGAATATTTAAAAACTTAATCTGCGATATACAGCATTCATAATAAAAAAAAACTCAACAATTGTTTTCCTTCAAAAGGGATTAAAAATTCATCCAGAATAATTTCCCAAATTATTTAATTTGTTTAAAATATTTATTACTTCCCCCCCCCCCTTTTTAGACCACCTTAAATGTGAATGAATTATAATACCATCAATTAACTTAGCATCCAGTTGTTCTACCTTGTCTTTAACTACATGAATTCTATCCAAAATATCCTCATTGGAATCTTTAGTAAGGAGTCTTTTATATTATTATTCATTTAATAAAATAAAAACTTCTAAATAGGAATTATTAAACTTCCAGTGGCCTAGACCTTTACATGCCTCTTTATAATTATATTTGCAATGAAATTAGAGTGGCTGAGTGGTCTGCACAAATTCCCGGTTTTACAACTGACTTTTATACATTTTCAATAAAATTTTTCTCTCAATCTTCTGATAGCGCAAAAATTTAACATTAATAGGTCTAGGTCTACTTCCTGTGTTACTCACTTGAATAATCTTCCTCCTTGTACGTTGCACTCGCGCTCAATCTCTACTTCCCGTACATCATTTTCACTCTTTCCTGTTTTCATAAAATTCATCACAAAATCTTGAATACATATTATCCTTGAAATTTTTTGATGTACAGTGCACTCACTATATTCTGGCATTTCCCGTATCACAAGGTTATTTCTACATGATCTATTTACTAAGGCATCTATTTTCTGTTCCAATTCAATTACTGTTTCTTTACATACCAACCAAAGATACTTGTGATGACTGGCATTCCTCAACAACTACATTCATATTCTCCACACCATGGTCAGTGTTTCGTATTTTAGGTTATCTAGCTTAACTATGGATTAAGCGATCGCCATTGTGGCGACTTGGTGGGCTAGCGTCACAACACAAACAATATTATTCCTTCATTACATCTTGCTATGTAGAAGAAACGCAAGTCAACCAAAGTAGAATTTCCTTGCGATGATCTGAAACGCCCAATTCATTGAAGACCGATCATCCGTTCTTCACAAGTGAAAGTCCATGATCCATCAAAAATAAATTATGTTTTGCATGTGAATTTGTAAGGAATTGTGATGACTGTTTGGTCTTGTTTTTCAACTACCACCAGTATCTGTAATTCAATAAATCAAATGAGTATTCACCCAATGAACAATAATAAGCACCTTCAATTCAATATCTAATGGCAAACCATTTATCATGAGTGTTGAGCAGTCAAGTCCCGTCAATTTCAAGAAATGGTCTGCAGACCTGCCAACCCCGGGTCATGAAAATCTGGAGATTTTTTTTTTAATCTTAAAAAAATATGGATATTTCCAGAATTACCCAAAAGATGATGCAATTTACTAAAAAAAAAAAATGTCAAGACAAATCATAGTGGTATAAAATCAATGGTACAAAGTTACTACAAAACAACTGATTAAATTGCTGCTTGTGTATCGCGGCAAATACATTGGATAATAACGATCCAATCAATCATTTATGCATAAATCGGGAGTATTTTGCGGAGGGAACCTGTAAAAAGAGTGAAATATGGTGAAAATTACATTCGATCAGGAGAACTGGAGATTTGTTTAGATATCGGGTGACATCCAACAGGATCGGGTGAGTTGGCAGGTCTGGGTCTGTCACAAAATCATTTGTTTGTGCGTCAATTTCACACAGTGGTCAGTCACATTTTTTACGAAAGGGTGTGGTAATGCATTATATATGTATGATGCTCATTGGACAAGTGAGGCACCCTTCCCGGGGATTGTATATTGCGTCATACAACTGACGGCTGCTTTAGCAATGATTGCCAATAAATAAAAGTGCATTATTATAATTTAAAAAAATGATGTCATCTTTATAAATTGTGTATATTTTCACAGAAATAAGCATAAATAGGCCTAGGCATTTTTATTGCTTTATTCATGAAAATATTTGTTTTATCCACTTTTTCCTTTGTTGTTGAATCTTAACCTACTTTGACACCGTGCCCCCTCCTACCTAAATATACTCAGCAAAGTTAGCCTTCCCTTTTTAGGCCCCTTAGGCCTGGGAGGGGGAGGGGGCCTAATAATGAATTACAGACGATCGGGCACACAAGACGATCAGGCCCATTTTTGGACGATCGGGCCCAACTAGTGTGGACGATCGGGCCCACCGAAGTAGACTTTCGGGCCCATTTTCTAAAACGGCGGGTAGACGTTCGGGCCCATTTTTCCAAAGACGATTGGGCCCATTTCCTCATAACTTTGGCCGCCGATAATTTCGGTCGGGCGAAATTTGTATGGGGCGCCATATGGGCATTATCCCACACCTACTATTGTTTGGAGTCGTCATCTATGCCGTGGTGTATGTCTATTTACAGCTAATTCAAGCACAATGCTTTTGTTAATATTTTTCTTTTTTTCAGGTAGGAGGGAATGTGGATTCTATCAAAGCAATATAGCCGTTGAGACGGTCTATAAGCCTAGGCCTAAAAATATAAATTGTTTGTTTGCCCTTCTTTCTTTAAAATGATAAAAAGGGGCTGGTTGTATAGAGTTTTAAACACATTTTATTTATTTTTTAAATTTATATTTATGTATAGCGCCTTTCTTTGCAGATACGAAGCGTTATATTATACATGACAGAGGAGAATGCATGTATATTATTGACATCGAATGACATACAATACTTGGATTATGTGTTATACTTTCTTAATTGCTAATTTTGTATTAAAAAAGTTATCCATATTCTTATTAATCGGGCAATAATCTCACAGACAGTAATATTACAGATATTAAAAGTACTATTACTGTCATAATTTTATTTGGAAAGTGAACATTTTCTTAATACAAAATTGACCTACTTGACGATGGCGAAGTCGGCTTTGTGGAGCGTGTACATGAACTTGCCCGATTGTCATGACATTCGCTGTATTAGCAGTTGAATAACCATTAGGCATTGTCTTATTACACCTTCCTTTTGTATGTACCAGCTATGTTTATTGGAAGTATCGTTTAGGTGTTACCCTTGCAAAAATAACTATTAACTTTGCACCTTCCCCGTGAAGCTTAAAGTATGTTTGTTGGACATAAATTGACTGTTGCCATACAGTTGTAAATAGCGTTGATTGATATTTCCGTGACTTTAAAGGCGTTAGCTTTTAGTCGTGTCCTTTTTAAAATATTATAACTTCAAGCTTAACTCTTCTGTTGAACACAAAATTTGGAAGAAAAAAATAAAAAATATTTTCCGTAAGCTTATCCACAGAAACTGTCTACATTATTGTCTCCATTCTACTATATGTTGATCATGTAGTTTATACAGTATATTAAGATCATCATTGTAGATATTATATATACACACACACCCCCACATATACATACATACATATATATACATACATACATACATATACATACATATATATATATATATATATATATATATATATATTTATATATTTATATATTTGTATCTGTATATATATTTGGTATAACCGGAAGAGGGTGAATTAACTCCTCATGGTGTAATATAGTCATTCGACTGCCGAAATTGACGAAAACATTTTGGAAATTTTCAATTCTGCATGCCAAGAACTCGCGGAACAACAACGCGGCGCTCCATACATTTTGTCATTTGACGGGGTGCGGCCAAAATTGACCTAGGCAAGCCAAAATGTTTTTAGAAATTTTCGATTTTGTCAGCAGACGATCGGGCCCAATATTCAGTTTCCCCTAAAGACGATCGGGCCCACTTTTGAAAAGTGGGCCCGATCGTTTTTGGACGATCGGGCCCACTTTCAAAAGTGGGCCCGATCGTCTGTACCCAATCGTCTCATGTGCCTGATCGTCTGTCACCCATCATAATAATCTTGGCTAGGCCTACCTAGACACACTAGCCTGGCCCTAGGCCTGGCTTGCCCGGCCCTAGGCCTGGCTTGCCCTTAATACTGTATTATTAGTAGTAGTACTAGCCTAGGCTAGTAGTAGTAGTAGGCCTAGGCCCCTACTACTACTACGCCTAGTAGTAGTACTAGGCTAGGCCTACCTAGGCCTAGTAGTTAGTAAGTATGCCCCTCTCTAATAGGCCTAGATCATCAGGAAGGAGAAAATAATGTGTTAGCATACTTACTATAACGGTACTGCACAAGCATTATTTTATCAGTGGCTATAGCCTAGGCTTTTATCATGACGAGGCGAATAAATAATTTTCTCTCAGTTTTAAGACAGATTCGAGCCCGCCCAGGCTAAGCACTCGCGTCGCATGTGACCAACCAGGACCAGATAATCCCAAGTGAAAACATTTGGGCTGCTGGACGGTTTATGACGTCACTTTCTCCCCCCCCCCAAGAGACAGCCCCCCCCCACCTCCCCCAACATGGCCTGGAGCGTGTCAGCGCGCTGGCCGGTTCCACTCTGAACGCGATCAAGCGAATTTCGCGTCCAAATGTGGCGCGCGCGGCTGAATCGAAGACGCGACTGGCGTTTCTAATGGCTATGTTCTCACACGGCAGCTAACGGTTAGCAGGATCCGGATCCTGCTAACCGTTAGCTGCCGTGCGTCCATGCGAGAAAATCGATCCGGATACCAACAATATGATGATCGAATCACTGGCCAATAAGAAACTGGAAATTGTAAACGCGTACGTGTGATTGGTTGATGATAGAAACGCCCTCAACTTGCTAACCGATAGCGCTAACCCGATCGGTTGCGTTGCGGCTGCGTCGGCCGACGCTGTCTGAGTTGGCCTTTAGGCTCTCGATCGTGAGAACCAGGCTGTGAACATGCAAACGAATTTGTAGTCGAACACGCGAACGCCCAATATTCGAACTTCGACGCGGTGCGCGCGGTGGCTTCGCCTGCGAATAGACCTTTCCGGAGTGTCAATCAAACTTATCAACTGACTAATCAGAACAGCGCTAGGAATACGCGCGCGTCTCACAAACACACGTGTTGTCCCACAAACGCACGTGTTCGCGTATGTTTTAACACTGTCGTCTTGTGGGACCTTAGCAACAATATCCAAGGGGCGGGCCTTAGCGGAAAGGTCCATTCACAAGAGTTGATCCATGGAGGTATTCCAAGACCAACTTTTTGGGATTCGCGAGCGAATTCGCGGCCGATGGACCAATCGCAAGGCTTAGATTCAATTTATGTCAAAGGTCAACAATAAAGTCACGACCATTGTCAAAACAATGTACAGATACAGATGTGCGAGCGATGTGCGAGCGATGACCGACGAGTCCGTTTCTTGCAAACTCTGTGGAACAGTAGGCTACCTTTGTTTAGGTCTGTGACAAGGGAGCAAAGAAAATATGTGACAATGTGTGGAAAAGGATTTGCAGAGACGAGTTGAGTTATCTCCTTTTTCTACCAGTATTAGGCCTGTCCAGCCTAGGCCTCTGATCCCTGCTACTACCTGAGTGAGACCTACACTGTACAGTAGGGTAGGCTAGGCTAGGCTCTAGGCCTTGAATAAATATACTTTAAAAAAAACTACCGTATGTTTATATTCACTCTTTCCATTCATTATAGAGTTCTGGGAATGTTAATCCTGAGGATTTTATCTGATTCGCCTCACAGCCCTTTTCCTCCGTCTATCAATGCGATAACAAAATCACTTATCTGTTGCCATTTCGAGTTTTTGCGCGCGGCCAGCAGTGGGAACAGGCAAGC